GTGTCTCGTCAGAATGTGGTTTTCCTGTAATTTGCGTCATACAATGACTTCCATCAACCGTACTAATATCTTCTTGTGAAGATTACGTTGTCCTCGGCAGTTTTGAAGCTGTAACTCTGGCGCTTTCGCAGGCTATTATGAGATGTAGAATACAAACTACTAAGCCCCCTTATCTTCTTTAGCACTTCTGACAAATGCAAGTTTTGTTCGTGAAGATTGGCGGCGAATTCTAATGACATTATAATTCCACATCAATTTTAAATTTACCCTGACCGAGTATAAGATTAAAGCCTAAACTTTTACAGAGAATTTGAGAGCAAATAACATATTCAATTTGAAGCATTCTACATGTTCCAGTGGTTTACCATGAAGGCTTATATTTCACTCGTGTGACCAACTTTACACGCCATCTATTGATTTTGGCCAATCACAAGTCTTGAAATACAACAGCCAATCAAATTCTTCCTCAAAATCTTGAGGAACTCTACGTGACCTCGGAACACGATTAGCAACGGCAAATCACAGACGTTCTCTCCCCGATTTTTTGAGGGGTGAGAAACGGATGTACACAGGCTATAGTATCTCTGAAAGTCACAAATTTTCTAACTGGTTTGGCAGGAGTAGTATACTGTGCATGAAATTAACCTGTGGGATTGTGGGATTGTGGGATTGTGGGATTGTGGGATTGTGGGATTTTGGGATTGTGGGAGTCACGTGACTAGGTTATTTCCCTGTAAATATAAGGAACCTATATTACTTTTTATTAAATCAAACATCATGATATCGTTTCAAGTAGATGAGGTTGAGATGGCAGATATGATTATGAGTATCTTGGAACTTTCCTATGCCTGTTTATGTATGCGCTCTGACTGAATTGCAAAGTTAGATATAACTGTTGAAGATTTATACTACAATGAATAGAATTCAGATTGACGAAGTTGAAATGGGTGAACGTGCTTTCCTGCTGGAGCTGATATCAACGGTCTTACAACTTTCTTATGCTTCTTTTTGCGAGTATCCAATTTGGGAACTGATAAATTCTGAGTGTGAAGGCTGCAAACTTCAACTACCAGGTCAAAGAGATCATGTTTGTATGATGACTGAAAATGAAGAAGCATTTAACCTCTATTACGACGATGCCATGCAGTTAGTGAACTCCAATCAAGTGTGGGAATTAGCATATGAAGTATGTGAGCAGTTCCTCGATTTTAAAATTCACCGTTCGTGGCAAGTTTATACTCCTGAATTTTACAAGCTGCCTTGGACAACAGTCTATCTGAACATTCTTCAGTTTGAACTTTGCTCTGATCGAACGAGTTCACCTCGCGATCAAATCCTTGAAGTTTTGATCAAAGKTCCACTGAGAATCAATCGCAAGAAAAGAACTATATTAAAAGCTTCAAAGATTTCATGTCCGGAAGAGTTTCGTAGCAAAGATGAAGAGCGCATGGATCAGAATTAATCATTAGCACTGYAAATAACTCAACCGTTTTTATAAAACCAATAAATCTTATTGCCGTAAACAGTCATTCAGTCTCTTGTCTTGTTGGGGTTATTTCAAGCTATTGCGATTAATC